AGGGCTGTTTCACCTCTGTCTTCATGTGACTCTATTCAAAAGCCATTTAGCAAAGAGGGGATGAGAAGAGTGACAAACTAGTATACAGTACGGTACTTTTAGATCTTTTTTTCTGAACCGGGGAAAATCTGATCATGTTTCTCTATAACAGTAATAAAAAACATTGCCATACCCGGACTGTTAAACCAACGCATTAGCACGTCAAAGCCCATTGAGGAGCCGAGCGCAATAACTGTTTTGTCCCTTGATTTACTGATCTGCACTGATTACAGAAATCGAGTTCCTGCTCTTTGCAGACGACCTGATCCTGCTGTCGCCCACAGAACAGAGGCTGCCGCAGAACCTGGCACTGCTGGAGCAGCACTGTCAGACCTGAGCGCTGACAGTCAATCTGGACAAGACCAGAGTTATGGTTTTCCAGAAAAAAAGCCAGACCCCCATTAGTCTTCCTCAGATCGTCGGATTATGAATGAATAAAAGCATCTTATTAAAAACGCGTTTGCGTTTGTCTGGGTATTTACTTTGTAATCTGTGGTTGCTCAATATCGGAGTAAACAAAAGCATACTTTTAGAATTTGATTAACAGGGAATATAATATGGAATTGCGTATCTACACAAATTAATAGCGATATAATTATATTCATGTACTGTCTGGCGGAATAAACTGAAGAGGTTAGTTAATGCGACATGGAATTATTAAGAATTATAACCTCTTTTTACACTTGAGAACAAATGAGAACATTCCACTCGGTGGGCGGTGCATTGTTATCTCAATCACCTGCTAATTCGTTTTACACCACTGGACGACAGGAGAATGTGACTGTACTGTATCTGTACAGAATGTGTGTTTCAGTCAATACAGTAATTGAGTAAAATCGCAATTGCGAGTTTAATTAAATGCCTTTTTTGATTCACAATCTGAAAATGAAAACCGCGGTAAAGTCACCTTGAATTTAAAAAAACGATTTTGGCACGCCGGTAGCATTTTCACGAAACCTCCTAGAGTTGTGAGAACACTTGCATTGTGTATAAAGTACATTGTGAATGTTTTCACAGCCTTCACTTTGTCGTTTTTTTGCCAGTTTTTTGACCACGCACGAATATTCCTATGTCCATATCCTTGCAAGGGAACCAGTGCGAATTTTAATACTAATTAAATGACCACAGGCACTTTCCACCCCCTCTACATTCTCAGAGTAGAACAGATTAACCTTCTAAAGAAAGACGGTCCACCCAGGGACAGGAAAAGTGAACACAGGCACTTAAACTTAATATGGTCAGTAACAGTAAACAGTAACATGATCAGAAGGAGCACTTACAAACGCTTCCGAAATAACCACATGTAAGACTCTGACGCTTAAAATGTTTAGGGAGAAAGTGGAATACTGGTGTGTATTTTTTCTTTAAACTACCAATACCAGCCATATACAGTCTGTAACATAGGGATTTCTATGTCTTTATTTAGT